GTCGTTATAGTTGCGCCGCCTCTACTGCCGCGACTCCTGAAAAACTTTTTCATTCCACTTCGCCCCATCAAGCTCGCTGGATCCGCTCCTCTGCGATCAACGAGAGGAGCGTCTGTACTTCCTCAACAGACAATGAAACAGCTTAAGAGTTAAATAAAAGCTTTAATACTAGCATTTAGTTTTAAGTAGCTGTCTAATAGTTCGATTGTGTCTAAGAATGATAAATGTCTCTTTTCAATTGATTTCTGGAAAAGTACTGCACTGCATTTTAAGCAGCGTTCCCTTCTGCCCTGTTGATCTGTCTGTTTTTGCAGTGAAAGTAGGATATTTGAAAGTAAGATGACTTGTTTCGGTGGAAACTCACCTGTGTGCGGGGATCTTGTGGTCTCCAGCTATCAAAAGTACATCACACAGCTGCTTGTGCTGAAGATAGGTCTCCATCTTTCGAAAGGTCTGTTCCGCATGGTTCGTGGCCTGGAAAAACTCATCAGAGCAGTTGGAGCTCATCCTAGAGAAACCGCTCAAAGCCAACCTATGGGAAAGAGGAAGACCGGAGTTGAGCTGGGACTGAGCAATGTGCGCTTCTGTCAGTTTGATATGACTATTTGATCTATGTGGGTGACGGGGGAACTTAACTAACACCTGCACAAGCTGCTGTGTCCACCTGTAACTTCATTTTTTATTTTCCCCTCAACTGACCCATCAGGTCTGAGGCTCCACGGAGTGACAGGTCATGTTGGAGAAAATGTGTTTGTGTTGCAGCAAAGCAGAGTCACGGACATGTGCGTTTCAAACTGTGGTGTTTATAGAACATTATTCTAAATCTAATAGCTGTTTACTCAGAGATAGATCACCTAAAAATTCAATTCTGTCATTTGCTTCCCTCATCTCATTCCAAACCTGTATGAACTCCTTTATTTGGTTCATACAATGAGTGATGCCTTGGACTCCATAAACCAAAACACTCTTAAAACATTCGTTTTCGGTACGAGAAAGAATAGCTTACAGGTTGAAAATGATATGAGGGTGGGGAAATAATGAGAGAATTTACATTTTTGGTGAACTGTCCTTCCATCATTTGTGTACATATGCCTGAAAGGTTTTTATTATTTGGACATACAGAGTTAATGAATTATTTGACTTCTACTATGTCCTACAGCGGCGCTTCAGTTGGTTCACCCATGACAAATTAAACAGGCAAGGCTTTCTAATATAAATTGTAATATTATTCCGAAAAGCGGTTAGCTTGAGCAAACTTAATTAAAAGAAACAATTTTGTGCCATTTTCCATCAATTTCCTCTGCCAAATGTAGGAAAATGACTTAGTAGCATGCATGCTGTTTGTGTCATAATGAAAAGAACAAATTTATAGCCTTTATTACTCTGTCATATATGCTCTATCACTGTTACTTTCACAATTTTATACTATTTGATGGCTTGATCCAATTTATGCAGTTTGCACCCACAAAAACAAGCTCTGCCAATTACTGTCACCATGTTGTTTCATGCAGTTTTCTGTATGCGTGAATTATATATTGTGCAGAAGTAATAAAAACACTTTTTTTCTCTCTCCCAAATGGACATTAGTCATTCTGTGTATATCTTCCTTCACACTTGTGAGAGCTAAAATTGAAACCATTAGAATTAAACTCCGTAAATAAGTGGATTGAAAGCCAGAGTTTTCCAAAGGGGCAGATTACCATTTGCACAAACTCTGCTGTTTTTATTTCTTTATTTATTCTTTTGGAAGCACAGGACTTTGTGGGGATCTGGTCTCTTCACAGAGCCTTGATAATGTAAATTCTGAGCTGCTCTCCCTGCAGACCGGTAGATTACAAGCCATTGTGCTGCATCTGAATAATCCCTCCGACTCACAGCAAACAATCTAAACCCTTTATTTTGCTGTCCTTCACGGAACAAATCCGTGGCTGACATTTAACCAGTCCACAACACTGTTTAAAAAGTCTAACTGCTGCAGGGACCTACAGTAGAGCTGTGCATTTTGATTACTTGTCTGTATAGAGAAGGGCTTTTAAAAAAAAAATTTAAAAAAAGTAATTATTTGCTTTGAACGACTGGTTATATTAACCGCCATCAACAAAGATTTGCGTAACAAAAAAAAGCATGACCATTATGATATTTTTAATATCTGCACATCCTATTGTCCACTTCATCTTTTAAAAAGAGTTGCAAAATCATAAAGCTGGGAATGAATATTTAGCACCTGATAAAACGTTATGATCTCGTAAAAGTTTTAATTGCAGAGTAAATCCCACCGAAAGCTGCGCTCACTGGATCAATGGTTTTGTGAACTGTGACTCTGTCCTTAGAGGGACACATAAAGCAGAATTTCGCCCTTGTGTCCTCGACTTTAAAGGCAGATATGTTCCATCATATGAGCTAGTTTTTTAAGCATACTGCCGTATACATCACATTAATTCCAGAGTACATACTTCTACTCTCTCTTCATAGCAGAATACATTTGATAAGTAGTCAGTTGGCGCATTTAATATGATGGAGCTTGCTTGACGTGAATTGGCTAGATGAGCAAGGTGACTCTCATACGGAATACTTTATCTTTATCTCTCTGGTCAGCTGTCAGGGGTTGGTGATCGCACTGATATTTACAAGCGGAGGGGGGTTGACTTCTAAACATTTAAAATTGTCCTAGGGTTGCTATGATCTAATGCCACATGCAAAGCCAAACTCAGGTTGTCTGGCTGACGGATCATATCAAATAGCCTGCTATTTTACATATAGAGCATCCAGTCTGCTTAAAGGAATAGTTCACCCAAAAATTAAAATTTGCTGAAAATGTACTCACCCTCAGGGGCATCCAAGATGTAGTTTGATATAGGAGTTTGTTTCTTCATCAAAACAGATTTAGAGGAATTTAGCATTACATCACTTGCTCATAAATGAATTCTCTGCAGTGAATGGGTGCCGTCAGAATGAGAGTTCAAAAAGCTGATAAAAACATCACAATAATCCACAAGTAAACCACACCACTCCAATCCATCAGTTAACATCTTGTGAAGCAAAAAGTTGCAAGTTTGTAATAAACAGATCCATCATTAACACATTTTTTACTTTAAATCATTACTTCTAGCCAAACCATAATAACGTTTCCTCCAGTGAAAACATCCATCCCCTGTTGTCCTCTCACATCAAAATCCACCAACTTGTTAAGAACTGTTTTGGACCATTTTCACTTGTAAACAGTGCTTAATCTGTGCATGTTTCTCTCCTGAATCAGACAAGCCAACTTTTTCAATGAGGGAAGTAATATTATGGATAGAGGGCTCATATTGTAGCTTAATGAAAGATTTGTTTCTTACAAACACGCAGCTTTTCACTTCACATTAACTGATGGACTGGAGTGATGTGGATTACTTGTGGATTATTGTGATGTTTTTATCAGCTGTTTGGATTCTCATTCTGACGGCACCCATTCACTGCAGAGGATCCATTGCTGAGCAAATGATGTAAAGCTACATTTCTCCAAATCTGTTCTGATGAAGAAACAAACTCATCTACATTTTGGATGGTCTGAGGGTGAGGACATTTTCAGCAAACTGTCTTTTTTGGGTGAAATATACTTTTAAAATCTTGTATGTTTACATGCTTCCCTTTTATTGTTTTGTGATAATGATACCTTATATGGCCCAAGTGAATGGTTGAACACACCATTGAAAAAAAATGTTTACAAATATTCAGATTAAATATTTCATTTTTGCCTCTATGTGGTGCTTTGGTTATTGGTTTTAGATCCAGTGCCTACTGATGAAGCGCAAGACAATCAAGTGTTGAAGATTACACTAAATTTACATTAGATTCTTTACATTATGCCGAATTGCATTTGCAGCTGTGAGACATTTAGACATTAATAACCATGTGTTTCGATTGTGTGGACAGCAAAGGCTACCAGTCCCAGACTCCTTCTGGTCATTATAAGGTTGTTTTTTATGCTAAATAGATGGGTAATTTATCTCACTGACATTATAACTACATTTTGGCACAGAGCTGGGTGTACTGAATAAGAAATAAGACAACATAAGAGGGGTTGTAAAACCTAGATGCATTACTTTTGCTCAAAGTAATGCTGAGAGGACTTTTATGTCTACCACTATCAGAGAACCAAATTGCTTCTTTAACACTTTCTGAAAGGTTGTAAATTTACTGAAAATGTTTTCTTTCTGCCTGTGAAATTGGCTTTTTATATAAAGGGCCTTTATGTGCCACAATGCCACTGAAACTTGATGTAAAGCAACTAAAACAAATTTTCGTAACCCCTGAATAATATATAACAAGAGTTTCCTACACATTATATCTATGTGTGTTAATCTTACATTTACATTGCTGCAAATGTAAATGTTCATAATTTTATGAAGTTCTATTTCGCCTTGTTTTGATATGTTTATCTATTTTATTTTATCTCTTTTATTTGTTGTTTTTAATACACAGGTTTGAGTACTACTTCTGGCTAAATAAATCTTCATATAGTTATGCACTATGAACAGGATGAATAAACAGCTCAACAGTTGAAACTGCTGTATGACATATTTCATACTCGGAGGACTTTTATAGACATCTATTTGTTGTGTTATCTGGTGCATTACATAACCCATCCTATCTCCATATCAGTACAGCATCTGAGCAGTTATTGAACTTGAGCTGTATCACTCTATTCACCCAGATCAATAACAAGTGGGCAGTTGTTGCAGTTACCTGAGTGTTTCTTGACAAGAGCCTGCCAACAGACTCTTCAAAGCTATTTCAAGAGCCTGACACAGAGAGCATGTTATATGTGGAGCACCGCAAAGTGCTTAACCAGATTTTACACATCATTCCCTTTCTCTCCGAAACAGATGCTTATCATTATCAGTACATCTGCTTCGAATATTTTTTTATTTAAAAAATGCTATTTGATAAAGTGCACTAGCTCTGTATATGTTAAGTTTTTGATCAATACAATCAACAAAAACAGCATAAAAACATTTATATTCATGTTTTCTCAATTTTAGTGGTGCAGTTGTCAATCAAATATGAATAGGAATTGCTAAAGCAGGTATAAAGGATTTTTCGAGGATGTTATAATAGAATATGTATCAGCATCATTGCTCACATGCGTTCTGCGCATGTATTTGGTTGACCTTTCAAGAAATTGCTGCTAGCTGGTTGCAAACATACTGAAGCAGCCCTAAGCAATTTTATTTGGCAGGGTCTTATTCCTCATGGAACAGCACGTCAATGCCTCTTTCTCGATTCCTGAAGCATGCTTTGTTATTCAGTGATGCACAGTGCACACATTATGTTGAAACTGCACAACAGTGCTTTCCCGCTTAAAACAGAATAACTGATCCAGTTCTGTGTGTCTGTGGGGGTTTCGTCCATTTTGCTTGCCTTTTCCAAAATGTCACTGAACAAGATTGTTTTCCCATTGTCAATGTAAACAAATCTGCTTTTGAGTCTAATCTAATTATTGTCAATATTTCAAATGCTACAACCATAATCAGCACCATCCAGATGCTG